ACCCTTGCCGTGTGGCTCCTGAGTTGAGCAGCCCCTCTGGAAGGAAGCAGCAGCCCCTGGCCCCCAACTCTCAGGGGATCCCTGCTGCTTCTCACCCATCGAGATACTTCCTGAGCCAGGGGAGTCAATGACCATTCTGAACACAAAACAAAGACAAGCCCATGAATGGGTAGGGAATTTAAGCCATTCCCAAGACAGAAATACGGGTAGAAAACATGAGAGGAATGGGAAGAAATAGGTGAGGCTTTTGTGGGACAAATGGGACATCCCTGGGCTCTGGTCCTCATGGGGTGCTTGAAGCGTGTCAGGTGTCTGCTGGCAGGAAAGCACAGCTGAGCACACGCAGTCAGGAGTTTTCTGGCAGGTACTGATGTGAGCTTACTAACACAAATGGCTGTGAGCTGGACCTGTGTGTGCCACTGAGGCAGAATTGGTGGTTGGGGCAGCCTTGGCTGCAGTGACCATGCACTGTTTGAGCTCAGGATCCTGGGAGAAGAGAGCAATGAAAAACAGGACTGGAGCCCTGGGCTTCAGGAGAGCAGAATCTTGGATCTTCTGGGAGGAATCCCATGGGTTATGGTCCTGGACAGAGGAGGGGTCTAGGAGAGCTGCTCACGTTCAGAGATTTGCTTTTTGAACCTCAAGAATAGTTTCTGTTGACAAAGCAGTAAGTCAAGCTTTGTGTCAGATGTCCAAAATGATGAACAAAGGGCTCCTAAATCAACTCATAACTGGTTAATAGAGAAGGTTCCTGCTGAGTTGTTCAATTGGCCATGATGATCAACTGTTGAAAATGATCTGTTTGCAAGAGCCAAGATCTCAGGTTGAATGGTGAGGAAATTGGTCTTGGACAATTAGGTGGGGTGTTGTGCTGTTTCAGTAATTCTGGTAAATCCAATTTGTGTATGTGCACAGAGTTGTCTAAGGAAAAATAGATGAGGTAAGGCCACCATGTTTTCCTCCTTCAAGAGAAGGGAGGGAGACAGTTTGTGTGTGGTGGTTCAGTTGTTTTCAGTCACTGTGGTACGTAGTTCACACTGTGCTAGGCAGTTCTACAAAAACATCTGGGGGGGGTTTCAGTGCCAGGTGATGTCTCCTCTTTCATGTCTTTGTAGTGCTGCCTTTTGTTTTCCTGTCCCTCTACGCTGCTCTACTTCTGAACATCTAACACTGTTCCAGAGGATTCCCTAAACTAAAAATAACATTACCATCCTTGCTTTTTTTAGCAGAGTTAACAGTTATTGTTCATCTAACTAGAACATTGCTCTCACACTTTGGAACGGAATATTGTTGTTAGAAGTGCCTCAGAGAAAGGGTCTGGTTACTGATTTGTCTTTTAACACACAGCATGTTAGGGTTAAACACTTGAAAGGTTTTCTGGGAAGCATCTCTCAAGCTTATAAATTTTCAAGTTATTTTCATTCTAGATTTACTAAGTTTTCTAGACCTTCAAGCATTACTCTCCTCAAAGCCTATTTGCATGCCAGAGGAAAAATCAGTCCATGTTTAAGAATTGTTCAGGATTTATTTTGGTTAGTTGATGGTGCTCTAATTGACTCTATTTGCTGTTGTTATCGTTGACTGAAGTTGGCTTTTAATTTGATTGTTATCTTAATCATATCATTAGTGGTAGCCTGCAATTGTGGACCATTTTCCTAATCCTGCTGCAATAATCAGGGATGTTTTGAACTTTAACAGTTGGTGGACGTTAGGATTTTTCCTATTCTTTCTCTCAGGGAATTATTCCCATTTTGTTGCCTGTAAGTTCTTTGCCACAGGAGAATGCTCAGAGCAATATTACCAAGAGAAGTTACTTTTCAATAATTTGGTGAAGCAGATGGCTTTGGAAAGAAGGGGAAGAACAAGCATTCACATTTCACCAGTCTATTGGCTGCTTCCTGGAGCTGGACAAGTCCATTGCTGGTCACGGCTTGTTGATGAGGGCTGCAATCCTGGCCGAGTAGATGGGAGGAAATTCAATTGGGAAAAGATGAGTAAAAGCTCTTTCTTTCTCCTTGAACAAACCAAAGGCCCATGCTGGAGGACTGCAAGGGATTCGTGTGACAAATTTCCCTGCCAGCAATTTCTCGTCTGTACAAAATGCGCCCAGATCTCCCAGGCTCTCCTTATACGTCAGTTGTTCCCTTCCTTGTGTTCATGGCCCTCCATTGCATTTGTTCCCCTCTGTCCATGTCCTTCCCAGGCCTGGGAGCCCAGCAGGGCACACATTGGTCCCCAGTCCCAGCAGTGCTGAGGTGAAGAGGATTCCTCCCCAGGGAGCAAGGAGTCAGGACAACATGCCAGGAGGCTGCACGGACAAAGGAGGCTGGGAAAACGTGGGCCCAGTGCTGAATGGGATGGGGACCAGGTGACACAGGATATGGGACAGGGCTGAGGTCCTGAATGCTTTCTTCACCTCAGGCTTCAGCAGCCAGATCAGCCTTCAGGAATTTCATTTCCCAGAGCCCGGGAGGAGAGGCTGTGGGGAGGAATATGTACCCTTGCACAATCCATGTCACTGAACCATGGCCATAATGAAAGGATTTGTCCAGAAGGTTTGCAGGGAAGTCAGTGCTGGGAGCTCAACTGAATGAAGAATGCACAACATCCACTCTCTCCTCACCCAGCAAGACCCTTTGTCTCCCTGTTGAATGTGGCTAAGCCAAATTCCCACTTCCCAAAGCCATGCAGACTGTCCCTAAAGAAAAAGGGCTGGGAGCCAAGGCAAGGCACAGAGGAGAAATGAGGCTGTGCTGGACAGGAGCCCAGGCAATGTGCACTAAACCTGCACTTCCCCAAACTGCAGCCTCTGCAGTCCCCAGGGCAGATCCTCCTGCACCATCAATGGTACCAGCCCTTCTGGCAGCCTCCCTCCAGTGCCTTCTAGTGCCCCCAGGCCAGAGGGACGTTTCCTGCACCTGCCATTGCCTGACAAGAGCCCTGGGGAGCAGCTGCCAGAAAGAAATGCTGAGAGATCTGTCATCCCCATCTGCTGGTTTTTGGTTCACTCTGCTGCAGAGCTGCTCCAGGGTGGTTCTTGCTCCACAGTAATACGTTGCTGCATCGCCTGGGGTTGCTGCCAGGAGCTGCAGTGTGAAGCTGTTCATGGAGCTCTGCTCTCTTTCTTTAAAGCGATCTTGGAAACCGTCTCCAGAGGTATCTTCATCGTCCATGTAAATCCATTCCAGAGAGCCCCGTGGGCCCTGACGGTACCAGTACATGAAATAGTTGCTCATTGCATCTCCCTTCATGCTGCAGTGGAAGGTGACTTCATCTCCCTCTTGCAGGGTCACTTCCCTGGGGTTCTGCTCCAAGGTCACCTGGCCAGTGACTGCTGCAGAGAGCAAGAACGAGCCACAGTCATTCCAGGACTCAGCAAAGGTCAGGGCAATGCTGGTGGGGCTTTGAACTGGCACTGGACCTGTGGGAGGACAAAATCCTCCTCTTGGAAGCCAGCTGACACAGATGGGCAGAGCTGGTGGCAGCTAGCAAGGCTCACAAGGAAGGAGACACCACATTTCCCTCCATCCTTTTCCCAGTCACACAGGAAGCTTTTCCTGGTTCTCCCCAAAAAGGCAGGAAGAATTTGCACCATGGGGGGACAATAAATTCCTTTGTCTTTGCCAAGACAGGATGGTGAGGAACCCAGTGTCCTGTCCCTGAAGCTGCTGTGGGTGAGCAGAGCAAAGACCAAGGGCTGTCCCAGGCAGTGGGGCCTGTGCCCTGTGCTGCCATGGCCCAGCTGGTCTGTGCCAGAGGGGCGGCAGTGGCCCAGGAGCAGTGTCCAGTGCCAGGGCAAAGCGCTGGGCCCCGAGATGTGAGTGCAGCAGGGAGGTGCCCTGCGTGTGCCCAGGCTGCAGAGGAGGCAGCTGGCACGGAGGTGCCGAGCTCAGAGGCACAAGAGGAGCAGGGCTGCTCTCGCCGTGCTCCACAGGCAGGGCTGGGCAGCTGGAGCCGGGGCACAGCTGCGGCTGCAAGCGCTCAGCACAGCTGCCCAGAGCCCTGCAGAGCCCAGGGCCACGCTCAGCTCCTGGGGCCAGCAGCCCTTGCCTTCACTTACCTACAATGGGCAAGAAGCCCAGGCACAGGGCACTCCACATGGCCAGGCCCGCTCTCAGTGGCCTCTCTGCAGCTTCTCTGGGCCTGCACAACAGCTCTGCCCACACCTGCCCTGCCTGGGCCTCTGTCACTGCTCTCAGGCCCAGGCCCTGCTGGTCCCTCCCTCTGCCTATGACAACACTGAGGGGGAGAGGTGGGGCACCAGGAGCACAACTTGAAGCTCTTGCTGCCCTCCTGCCTGTCTCTCACTCTTTGTGGTGCAGTAACAGCCCATTTGTTAGGCAGGAAATGCTGTGTTGGGCTAAAGGTGACGTAGTTCTGAGGGGCCAGCCCTGGCCTTTCTCTCAGGGAGTCTCCCAGGCTGGGACTTTGGAGGTGACCAGGGAGGCTGTCAGCTTGTCCTTCCCTTGGCTCTGCTGGCCCTGCCTCTGCTGGGCGTCTCCTCCCATATGGGACACCCCAGGATCTCAGCTCAGCTTGGCCAGGCCACCCCCAAGCCAAAGTGCTCCTCACCCTGCTCCCAGCACTCTGGCCCTGCACCCTCTGGCTCCCCAGTGGTGACACTTCTCCAGCTGCCTCTTCCTCTCAAAGCCCTCACGGAGCCCTGCCCAGCAGCAAAGGCAGCCCAGGACTCTGCAGGTGCTTTGCATGTTCCACTTAAGAAGGGGACCAAGGAAGGCTGAGTGAGACTGGAGCCAGGCAGTCACCAGGCTGACTGCATGACAGAAAAACCTTGAAGCTCCTCTACAGAGTAGGACATTGCAATTGGGACTCAGGGGAAGGAAAGCCTCAGTGCTGGGAAAGGAGCTCTTGATGAAAGGCCAGGATCACTGGTGCTGCGTGGGGATGGCACCTGATTTCTCAGGAACAGCCCTGAAGCACTTTGGAATTCACCATCTCCAAATGTCGTGGGTGCTGATCCAGCCCCGAGCTGGTTTGTGTTAAAGCCAGGCTGGGTTTCCTGTGCCCGTGTGAACAGCGCAGAAGTACCGGGCAGAGTCGGGGGGCTGCAGGGTCAGCAGGGAGAGATAAACCTCGGCCCGGGAATTGTCCCGGGACATCTTGGCCCTCCCCTGCACTGACTGGTCGAAATAAACAGCTGTCGCATCAAAACTAATAAAGGACACCCACTCTGGGCTTCCTCCGGGTGCCTGACGGTACCACCAAATATGATAATCCTCGAAGGTGAATCCGGATCCATGGCAGGAGAGGGTGACGGAGTCGCCGGGCGCTCGCTGCCCTCCGCCGGCCTCCTGCAGCCTCGGCTGTGCGCAGAGCCCTGCGGAGGGAGAGCGCAGGGATCGGGCGGGGCGCGGCCGCGGACCGAGGGCGCTGTCCCGGTGTCCCGGTGCCCCCGGCCCGGCACAGCCACAGCCGCCAGCCCCGGCCCACAGCCCCTGTCCCTGGGTCTGCCCCGGCCTTTGCCCGTGTTCCCTGCCCTGCCTCTGCTCCTGTCCTTTCCCCAGCCTCTGGCCTTGTGCCCGTCCCTGTTCGTGCTCCTGCTCCTGTCGCTGCCTGTCGCTGTGGCTGTGCCTGGTTGCCCCGGCCGGGCTCGCTGCCCTCCCCGGCCGGCTCTCACCTGCCGGCCCCAAGGCCAAGGCCAAGGCCAGCAGCCCCGGCCCCGGCCCGGCCAACATCGCTGCCGGCGCCGCGGCAGCCGCACAGGAGGCGAGCGGAGCCGCGCTCGGGCCGCTCCCGCCCGGCCCCGCCTCGCCGGGGCAGCGCCGGCGCCTCTGCCCGCCCCGACTCACCCGCCCCGGGCCCCGGGAGCGCGGCCCCGCCGGGCGGGACAGGCAGCGCCGGCCGCGCCCGGGCCGCGCACGCAAAGCAGCGCTGAGCGCTTGGACAGCGCCTTCTGCCGAAGGGACCCGTGGCCAACGCGCCCTGAAATTCGCCCTCGTAGCACAGAATCACTGTGTCACAGAATCACAGAGTCACTGGCATCGGCGCTGCCGTGGGCCAAACGCTGCCCGCACTTGAAGGTGGTGACGGCTCCTCTCTCCTCGGAACTGCTGAAGCCACGCTCGACTACTGGGGACACATCTTGACTCCCCACTTTGTCATGTCAGTTGTTTTTCACCTGAGCAGGGAGGACACAAGGATGCTGAGCATACAATCATGAAGGGAGTTTATTCTTTTATTCTTCAGCTAGGCACACAGCTGTGCCCTCTCCTAGCCCATGGCCCATCCTGCTGTCAGATCTGGCCAGTGACTCTTGCTCACATAATCATCCCTGAGTGCTTGTCCTGTGCTGGATCTCTGCACCCTGGTGTCATGCAGATGGTGCAGACGAGTGGTCAGTAGTGCAGGGAAGTGGATTCTTTGAAACTCAGGCCCCTTGCAGAGGCTGGAATTTCTCTGGAATTCTGACTGATTCCACTACTGGCCATAGTTCAGTGTCTGATTTCCTTGGAAAATATGTCTTCTGGTGCTTTTCTCTTGTTATGAGGTATTCTGAGCTAGGAAGGGCTGCTTGGAGGTGGGTGATCAGGACAAACCAGCCCTGAGGTCAGAGCTCCTCGTCTCAGGCACTGCTCTTTCTTGTAAAGAGGAGAATATTACAGTTAGCCCTTTCAGAGCTTTTGTCACTGAGGACTTTGAGAAATAACTTGTGCTACAACAGGAGTGTTGAGAACAACCCTGTGTCCTCTTCAGGCTGCAAGTTTCAAAGCTAAAAAGGAACCGGGGAAATCTGCAAATGATACCAAGAAAATATTGGTTGGGGCAACGAGAGGCACACAGAGGAATGAGGAGAGCTATTCTGCATGGGTTGGTTTTCTGTATTTCTGTTCTTTGCTGCATTTGTGGTGTGTGTTGTTCTGTCAGAACCTAGGGTGTGGTGTTGTTCTGTAAGGCTGCAGACCCAGGTACAGGCTGCCAAGCTCTCTCCTAAAACTATCAGACCTGATGCTGTTATTTCGGGAGAGCCAGAATGGGCATAAGGAAAGGTGAGCAGAAGAGGAGGCAGCTCTGTGCCTCCTCTGTGCCAGTGGGAAGTCAGGAATTAATTCTAGATGTTGTTTGGTTTTTGCGTGTTGGTTTTGCCATGATTTCTCAACTCTCTTTCTGTCAAAACACACATTTTCTCACTCCACCCTTTTGTTCCTCTCCTGCATGGCACAGAGGGGGAGTGAGTGAGCAGCTGTGTGGGGCTGAGCTGCCCGATGGGGGCAGGGGCAGGAGGTGCCCACAGCCTTGTCCTGTTCAGTTGTGAATGTTCTCAAGAATGGAACTTGCAGAGTCTGGGGTATTTCACCTCAGTGTCAGATGCCCCTCAACATTTTCTTCTGCACGCTAAACCAGCCCAGATCTCCCAGGCTCTCCTTATATGTCAGCTGTTCCCTTCCTTGTGTTCATGGCCCTCCATTGCATTTGTTCCCCTCTGTCCATGTCCTTCCCAGGCTTGGGAGCCCAGCCGGGCACACATTGGTCCCCAGTCCCAGCAGTGCTGAGCTGAAGAGGATTCCTCCCCAGGGAGCAAGGAGTCAGGACAACATGCCAGGAGGCTGCATGGAGAAACGAGGCTGGGAAAACGTGGGCCCAGTGCTGAATGGGATGGGGACCAGGTGACACAGGATATGGGACAGGGCTGAGGTCCTGAATGCTTTCTTCACCTCAGGCTTCAGCAGCCAGATCAGCCTACAGGAATTTCATTTCCCAGAGCCCAGGAGGAGAGGCTGGGAGGAGGAATATGTACCCTTGCACAATCCATGTCACTGAACCATGGCCATAATGAAAGGATTTGTCCAGAAGGTTTGCAGGGAAGTCAGTGCTGGGAGCTCAACTGAATGAAGAATGCACAACATCCACTCTCTCCTCACCCAGCAAGACCCTTTGTCTCCCTGTTGAAGGCTGTCAATGTGGCTAAGCCAAATCCCCGTTCCCAAAGCCATGCAGACTGTCCCGAAAGAAAAAGGGCTGGGAGCCAAGGCAAGGCACAGAGGAGAAATGAGGCTGTGCTGGACAGGAGCCCAGGCAATGTGCACTAAACCTGCACTTCCCCAAACTGCAGCCTCTGCAGTTGCCAGGACAGATCCTCCTGCACCATCAATGGTGCCAGCCCTTCTGGCAGCCTCCCTCCAGTGCCTTCTAGTGCCCCCAGGCCAGAGGGACGTTTCCTGCACCTGCCATTGCCTGACAAGAGCCCTGGGCAGCAGGTGCCAGAAAGAAATGCTGAGAGATCTGTCATCCCCATCTGCTGGTTTTTGGTTCACTCTGCTGCAGAGCTGCTCCAGGGTGGTTCTGCTGCACAGTAATACGTTGCTGCATCGCCTGGGGTTGCTGCCAGGAGCTGCAGAGTGAAGCTGTTCTGGGAGCTCTGCTCTCTTCCTTTAAAGCGATCTTTGAAACCTTCTCCATAGATATCTCTATAGTCTTCATAAATCCATTTAATGCCCCGTGGGCCCTGACGGTACCAGTACATGTAGTAGTCGTTCATATCACCTCCCTTCATGCTGCAGTGGAAGGTGACTTCATCTCCCTCTCCCACGGTCACTTCCCTGGGGTTCTGCTCCAAGGTCACCAGGCCAGTGACTGCTGCAGAGAGCAAGAACGAGCCACAGTCACTCCAAGATGCAGCAAAGGTCACGGCAATGCTGGTGGGGCTTTGAACTGGAACTGGACCTGTGGGAGGACAAAATCCTCCTCTTGGAAGCCAGCTGACAGAGATGGGCAGAGCTGGTAGAAGCTAGCAAGGCTCACAAGGAAGGAGACACCACATTTCCCTCCATCCTTTTCCCAGTCACACAGGAAGCTTTTCCTGGTTTTCCCCAAAGAAGCAGGAAGGATTTGCACCATGGCGGGACAAAAAAATCCTTTTTCCTTGGCAAGACAGGATGGTGAGGAACCCACTGTCCTGTCCCTGAAGCTGCTGTGGGTGAGCAGAGCAAAGACCAAGGGCTGTCCCAGGCAGTGGGGCCTGTGCCCTGTGCTGCCATGGCCCAGCTGGTCTGTGCCAGAGGGGCGGCAGTGGCCCAGGAGCAGTGTCCAGTGCCAGGGCAAAGCGCTGGGCCCTGAGATGTGAGTGCAGCAGGGAGGTGGCCTGCGTGTGGCCAGGCTGCAGAGGAGGCAGCTGGCATGGAGGTGCCGAGCTCAGAGGCACAAGAGGAGCAGGGCTGCTCTCGCCGTGCTCCACAGGCAGGGCTGGGCAGCTGGAGCCGGGGCACAGCTGCGGCTGCAAGCGCTCAGCACAGCTGCCCAGAGCCCTGCAGAGCCCAGGGCCACGCTCAGCTCCTGGGGCCAGCAGCCCTTGCCTTCACTTACCTACAATGGGCAAGAAGCCCAGGCACAGGGCACTCCACATGGCCAGGCCCGCTCTCAGTGGCCTCTCTGCAGCTTCTCTGGGCCTGCACAACAGCTCTGCCCACACCTGCCCTGCCTGGGCCTCTGTCACTGCTCTCAGGCCCAGGCCCTGCTGGTCCCTCCCTCTGCCTATGACAACACTGAGGGGGAGAGGTGGGGCACCAGAGCACAACTTGAAGCTCTTGCTGCCCTCCTGCCTGTCTCTCACCCTGCATGGTCCCCATCTTTCTCTTAAGCCCTCTCCATATTCACACTTTGTGTGATCCTGTGGAAGAGCCTCCGGCTTGATTTGGAGTGAGTCAGTGGGAACTCTAGATTGGGAAATTCCAGTCCTAAACCAGAACAGCCTCCTTTGGCATCCAGTGTGGGGCATGAAGGGTTGAGATAAGACCAGATCTGCCCAGAGTGGGCTGCAGACCAATCTGATCTCAGCATTAGTTGTATCAGGTCTGGAGCCAGTGGTGCCAATGCTGCTGGGGCTGTTCCTGTGGCTGTGGGACCTAACCCTGTGTGTGTTCCCCTATGAGCTCCCCATGCTGATATTGTGCAGGGCAGTGGGCACTGAGAAGGGGACTGGGGAGAGGACAGCAACTCTCAGCCTCTGGAGGTGGCTCCTGTCAAGTGTTAGAGAAAGATACTGTCCCAAGGATGATCTAGTAGTGCTCCCAGGCAGGTGGAAGCCCATGGCCAGAGACTCTATTTGTCATCAAAATCAAACTGTGTGTGCACAGTGCCTCTTAGAGGTGTCCATTTTATGAGGGCTGGGGTGTCTCTTCTCTGTCTCCTTGCAGGTTATGTTTCAGTACAGGTCACAAAAGAGGAATTTCCCTGGTTGTCAAAGGCTTTGGCATAGCCAGGAGTCAACTGAGGCCCTCCCTACAGAAATCCTAGATTTGAGATCTCTTTTCAAATTGTGCTTTAGGGAGACAGACATTGCCTGGAGCTCTGCACTCCCCAGTCCTGAATAGATTTGCAGGGGGAAGATTGGGTTCTAATTCCTTCAGTTCAGAGAACATCTGCTGACTGAAATATAAGTCAAAGAGAGAACTTGCCTTACAGTCAGGTAATTAACCATACTCCTTTTGAGTTTCTGTTTATGTTAGATCTAATTTTGTCAGGAAGTTTATAGGATGTTGGGTCACAACAGAGATAGGTCAGATTATGCCTAACAGATGCAGGAATATGATTATTACATTGCATTTCTAATGTGGTATAAGAACACTGGAGGGTTCAGTGGTACAAAAATGTGTTTAGTATTGCCCTTCTCATGGTGTTCTTCACTATGTTTTCCCATGTAACCTCTTGGAGAAAGCTTTATTCTTTCAGGATGCTTTTA